AAAAAAAAAAAAAAAAAAAAAAAAAAAAAAAAAAAAAAAAAAAAAAGCAAGGTATGAACAATTGTATAATATACTCTATCTGCCTCCGGGGTGGATACAAATAAAATAGGCTGGGTCTGAATAGTCAGACATAAACAAAGGCTCTATTTGGAAAGATAGAAGAATGACAGTGGCCAGGCACTGAGGCTCACACCCATAATCCTAACACTTTGGGAGGCCAAGGCAGGAGGATCACTTGAGCCCAGGAGTTCGAGACCAGCATGGGCAACATGATGAAATCCCATCTCTACAAAAAATACAAAAATTTGCCAGGCAAGGTGGCATGCACATAGTCCTAGCTACTGAGGAGGCTGAGGTGGGAGGATTGCTTGAGGCCAGGAGGCGGAGGCTGCAGTGAGCCCCGATGCTGCCACTGCACCACTCCAGCCTGGGTAACAGAGCAACACTCTGCCTAAAAAAAAAAAAAAGAGAAAATTAAAAAAAGGCCAGGCACAGTGGCTCACGCCTGTAATCCCAGCACTTTGGGAGGCCGAGGCAAGCAAATCACCGGTCAGGAGTTTGTGACCAGCATGGCCAACATGGTGAAACCCCATCTCTACTAAAAATACAAAAAACTTAGCCAGATGTGGTGGCGGGTGCCTGTAATCCCAGCTACTCGGGAGGCTGAGGCAGGAGAATCGCTTGAACTCAGGAGGCAGAGGTTGCAGTGAGCTGAGATCATGCCATTGCACTCCAGCCTGGGCAACAGAGCGAGACACCGCCTCAAAAAAAAAAAAAAAAAAAAAAAAAGGGAGAAAGGAGACTGATAATAATTACTGCCTCTGGCAAGAGATAGGAAATCTAGAGTAGGAAAAAGATTTACTTTTCATTGAAAAATCTTTGTCTAATCCATGTTGAGTTGACCAAAAAAAAAAAAAAAAAAAGAAAAAGAAAATATCTTTGGTACTGTTTGAATGCTAATCTTTTAAAAAATAGAAATTTTTTTTTTTTTTTTTTTGAGACGGAGTTTCACTCTTGTTACCCAGGCTGGAGTGCAATGGCGCGATCTCGGCTCACCGCAACCTCCGCCTCCCGGGTTCAGGCAATTCTCCTGCCTCAGCCTCCTTAGTAGCTGGGATTACAGGCACGTGCCACCATGCCCAGCTATTTTTTTGTATTTTTTTAGTAGAGATGGGGTTTCACCATGTTGACCAGGATGGTCTCGATCTCTTGACCTCGTGATCCACCCGCCTCGGCCTCCCAAAGTGCTGGGATTACAGGCTTGAGCCACCGTGCCCGGCAATAATATGAATTTTTAAAATAAGAGTTATTGGCCAGGCAAGGTGGCTCATGCCTACAGTCCCAGCACTTTGAGAGGCTGAGGCAGGTGGATCACCTGATGACAGGAGCTCAAGACCAGCCTGACCCAACATGGTGAAATCCTGTCTCTACTAAAAATACAAAAATCAGCTGGGAGTGGTGGTGCGCACATGTAATCCTAGCTACTCAGGAGGCTGAGGCAGGAGAATTGCTTGAATCTGGGAGGCAGAGTTTGCAGTGAGCCAAGATCGAGCCACTACAGTCCAGCCTGGCGACAGAGTGAGACTCCGTCTGAAAAAAAAAAAAAAAAAAAGCAAATTCAAGTGATCCATTTATGTAAACAGGAAAAGGCACTTTATAAATCTATCTATCTAGAATTCCTTCTGGAAGGATATACATCAGGGATTGGTCAAAAAAAGAAAACTTCCATTTACAGGCCTGTTTGCAACTTCTGGAATACAACAGGTGTTAGCAGTGATTATTTCTGGATGATTGGAGTACGGATTTTTTTTTTTTTTTTAGATGGAGTTTTGCTCTGTCACCAAGCTGAAGTACAATGGCATGATCTCAGCTCACTGCAACCTCTGCCGGGTTCAAGCAGTTCTCCTGTCTCAGTCCCCTGAGTAACTGGGATTACAGGCATGCCCAACTATGCCCTGCTAATTTTTGTATTTTTAGTAGAGATGGGGTTTCACTATGTTGGTCAGGCTGGACTCAAACTCCTGATCTCATAATGCGCTTGCATCGGCCTCCCAAAATGCTGGGATTACAGGCATGAGCTACTCACTGTGCTTGGCCATGGACTGTGGATTTTTTTTAAATATTTTTTTATCTGCTCATGTATGTTTTCTAAATTTTCAACAATAGAACGTAGATTATTGTATTGTTGTTATAATACCCCAAACCTATCTTCCCTTCAACCCTCTTTCCACGAGCTCTTACCCCAAATGTCCCTTTTTCTGTCAGTGGCATTGTGAGTCTTCCTTAGTGTATCACCTCTGATTTTCCTGCATAATTTTTTTTTTTTTTTTTTTTTGGGAGAGAGAGTCTTGCTGTCACTCAGGTGGGATCTCAGCTCACTGCAACTTCCACCTCCCAGGTTCAAGCAATTCTCCCGGCCTCAGCCTCCCAAATAGCTGGGATTACAGGCGTCTGCCACCACGCCCAGCTAATTTTTGTATTTTTAGTAGAGACAGTGTTTCACTATGTTGACCAGGCTGGTCTCGAACTCCTGACCTCAAGTGATCCACCCACCTTGGTCTCCCAATGTGCTGGGATTACAGGTGTGAGCCACACTGGACTAATTTTTAAAATGTTTCTGTGGAGATAGGGTTTTGCCATGTTGCCCAGGGTGGTCTTGAACTCCTGGGCTCAAGCAATCCTCTCTTGCCTTGGCCTCCAAAGTGCTGGGATTACAGGTGTGAGCCCCTGTGCCTGGCCTCAATGTTAAGATCTGAAGAGGCACAGCACAGACCTTGTGTTGTCTATCTCCCTGGCCCCTCTCACACAGTACAGCTCATTAACAGATGTTCCAGAAACTGTTACCGAACATTCGGCTTGATGCTGTGGGCTTGTCTGCATCTTGCAACTGTCACCTGGCTGAGAAATTTCTTCTATAAATAAGCAGTTTCTGTTTCAGATGTGACTTGCCCTGATATTTACACCCCATCTCTTACCCCATCCAAGACTCAAACTTAGAAGCTTGAGTTAGATGTGGTATTCAAATCCTTAGCCACCACAAACAGACGGCCCCCCGTAAGAACCCACGAGGCAGGTGAAGTTCATTATTCTCCTAGACTTTCTAGCTGCTGTTGCTGCATTTGCCCTGGAATTCTTGTAGAGACATTACTTGTCCTTCTGGGGTGTTCTTTCTGTAGCTCCCTTGTTTTCTTTTTGTGATCATGTTGCAGATGGCTCGGCAGTGCTCCCAAAATGAATATTTTGACAGTTTGTTGCATGCTTGCAAACCTTGTCAACTTCGATGTTCTAATACTCCTCCTCTAACATGTCAGCGTTATTGTAATGCAAGTAAGTAATATTGCTTGAATGATTACTCATTGGTGTGAACTATTCTGTCTATAAGGACTGTTTATTCAGAGAATCAATGTAATGGGCATGATGGTGAGGTTTTGAATCAAAAAGAGAAAGAAAACAAGGCAATGATTTTAATGTTTATGGAAACAAAGTAATTATTTCGGACTGAACTGTACATGATATAGCACTATTAGCAACATAGATTTTTTTTTTTAAAGTCAACTCTTCTAATTAAGTGATAGTTAGAATTTAAAAGTTTATGTTCATTAATTAAGGTGATTGAATGGAAATAATTCATCGCTGATTATTTTGATAGCAAAAATCATCCCAGTGCGGTGGCTCAAGCCTGTAATCCCAGTACTTTGGGAGGTGGAGATGGGTGGATCACCTGAGGTCTGGAGTTTGAGACCAGCCAGGCCAACATAGTGAAACCCCGTCTCTACTAAAAATACAAAAATTAGCCAGGCGTGGTGGCCCAAGTCTGTAATCTCAGCTACTTGAGAGGCTGAGGCACGAGAATTGCTTGAACCCGGGAGATGGAGGTTGCAGTGAGCCGAAATCATGCCACTGCACTCCAGATTGGGCAACAGAGCAAGACTTTGTCTCAAAAATAAATAAATAAGTAATAATAATAAAGTGTGTGAATATTACACTATCAGCTCATTATCTGTCTGACATTCTTTTCATAAAGGTGGGACCAATTCAGTGAAAGGAACGAATGCGATTCTCTGGACCTGTTTGGGACTCAGCTTGATAATTTCTTTGGCAGTTTTTGTGTTAATGTTTTTGCTAAGGAAGATGAGCTCCGAACCATTAAAGGACGAATTTAAAAACACAGGTTGGTTTGTTGGTGAATCTTTGAAATCTATTTCCAGGAGGCGGCTATTGTAAGTTTCAGTTCCTTTTCTTTTTTTAGCGTTGACTATTTCACTTGGTTGCAGCCCTTTCCAGTATGTTGGAAAATAATTACATTAAATGAACTTGGTGGAGGTGAGACATCTTCATTCTGATTTTGACAACTTGGCAGGTTTTCTACGAAGTCAACCTTCCCAAGATTCTTCCCTTGGTAATTACTCTATTGAAAGTACTAACGCTTTCTTGGGAAACATCAGTCTCTTTGACTAATGTTAGCACATCAATTAAATGCCACATTATCAGAAACTCCTAACCAGGTCTGCTACTGTCGGGAAAAACATACTTGTCAAGATCTATGTCCATGTATTTATACAAATTTTAGTGTTATTTGCTTGGGTGAACATTTTGCTACTGAAAAATGTTAGAAATGAATAACCAGTTGCTCTTGGATTACTTGAGCAATCATCTAAAAAATAATTATCTTTTTTAAGCAATAAAGAACCAAGTCTCAGAAAAGTAAATCTTCTACTTAAGTGCCTCTTAAGATAAAAATACTTAGGTAGCACCTTTGCTCTTGATTGGATTCCCAAACATGTATAGCCAGTGCCCTATTTCTATATGCACCTATTTATTTATTTTGAAATAGAGTCTTGCTCTGTGGCCCAGGCTGGAGTGCAGTCATGTGACTTCAACTCACTGCAACCTCCGTCTCTTGGGTTCAAACAGTTCTCCCATCTCAGCCTCCTGAGTACCTGGGACTATAGGTATGTGTCACAACATCCGACTAATTTTTGTACTTTTTGGTAGAGACGGGGTTTCATCATGTTGGCCAGGATGGTCTCAAACTCCTGACCTCAAGTGATCTGCCCACCTTGGCCTCCCAAAGTGCTGAGATTATAGGCGTGAGCCACTGTGCCCAGCCCATACTCATTCTTTTTTAATGTAAAGATCTGTTTCAAGCTAGGTGCGGTGGCATGGAGCTGTAGTCCCAACTACTCTGGAGGCAAACATGGGAGGATTGCTTGAGCCCAGGAGCTTGAATGTAGCCTGTCAACACACTAAGACCCCACCTCTACAAAATGAAAAAATCTGTCTCGCATTTCGTTGAGTCCCGATATGTATACTACGAAGACTCTCTTGACCACACTCTGACGTTTAGGGTTAATGTTTTGTTTTTGTGTTATCAGGATCAGGTCTCCTGGGAGTGGCTAATGTTGACCTGGAAAAGAGCAGGACTGGTGATGAAATTATTCTTCCGAGAGGCCTGCAGTACACGGTGGAAGAATGTACCTGTGAAGACTGTGTCAAGAACAAACCAAAGGTCGATTCTGACCATTGCTTTCCACTCCCAGCCATGGAGGAAGGCGCAACCATTCTCGTCACCACAAAAACGAATGACTATTGCAATAGCCCGCCAGCTGCATTGAGTGTTACAGAGATCGAGAAATCAATTTCTGCTAGGTAATTAACCATTTCCATTCATGCAGTGCCACTTAAAAAATCTTTTGTCGGAATAGATGATGTGTCAGATCTCTTTAGAATGACTATATTTTTCAGTTGCTGATACAGCTTTTGTCCTCTATCCTGGAAACTCTTTATGTTAGATATATTTCTCTTGGTTACTCTTGGGATCTTAACTGTAGAAACTTCCTTGGTTTCATGATTAAACTCATTTTTTTTCTGACATCTAAGCTTTTATTAACATGAGTTTTTAAAAACAAGCATGTTCTGGACTAATAGTGAAGCTTAAAAACAAAACAAAACAAAGCAAAATAAAACAAGCATGTATACCAGTGTGGGGGGCAAGGGTGGGATAGAAAGGTGGGACAGGAAAAAAGAATTCTAATCTGTTGATAATAAAGCTCCAGTTCTGGCAGGGAGCTGTGGCTCACGCCTGTAATCCAGCACCCTGGGAGGCCAAGGTAGGCAGATCACCTGAGGTCAGGAATTCGAGACCAGCCTGGCCAACATGGTGAAAACCCATCTCTACTAAAAATACAAAATTAGCTGGGTATGGTGGTAGGTGCCTGTAATGCCAGCTGTTTGAAGGCTGAGGCAGGAGACTCACTTTAACCCGGGAGGTGGAGGTTGCAGTGAGCTGAGATGGCACCAATGCACTCCAGCCTGGATAACAGAGCCAGATTCTGTCTCAAAAAAAAAAAAAAAAAAAAAGGGCCAGGCGCGGTGACTCATGCTTGTAATCCCAGCACTTTGGGAGGCCAAGGCAGGTGGATCACTAGGTCAGGAGTTCGAGACCAGCCTGACCAAGACAGTGAAACCCTGTCTCCACTAAAAATACAAAAATTAGCTGGGAGCAGTGGGGGGTGCCTGTCATCCCAGCTACTCAGGAGGCTGAGGCAGGAGTATCGCTTGAACCCGGGGAGGTGGAGGTTGCAGTGAGCTGAGTTTGCAATGCACTCCAGCCTGGGCCACAGAGCTAGAGTCTGTCTCAAAAAAAAAAAAAAAAAAAGCTCCAGTTTCATCTCCTACTGCATTTTATAGTCCCCTAGTGATATATGGTCCTTAAAAATTGTATACTACTTATTCAGGACAGTCTTGTCCCTGAAAGGGCTGTTCTTGTTATAGCCCTGGCCTGGTCTGTAATCATCAGCTTCTTAATGTCCCGGATGGTGTTATCTGCGTAGCATTTAACACAGACCCCTTCCACACCGTCAGTGGTAGCAAACAACCTCGCTCATCCTAGCTGATGCCCTTCACCTTCAACGTGCTAGCGTGACAATCTTCTCACTAGAGCCCTCTAAACTCTTGACTTACTAAGAGAAAAAAAAAAAGTACAGCATTCTGTAGATCTCAGTAACACATTTTTTTTTTTCTTTTGAGACAGAGTCTCACTCTGGAGTGCAGTGGCACAATCTCAGCTCACTGCAACTTCTGCCTCCCAGGTTCAAGCGATTCTCCTACCTCAGCCTCCTGAGTAGCTGGGATTACAGGCGCTTGCCACCATGCCCGGCTAATTTTTTTTTTTTAAATTTTCGTATTTTTAGTAGAGATGGGGTTTCACCATCTTGGCCAGCATGGTCTCAATCTCTTGACCTCATGATCTGCCCACCTCCGCCTGCCAAAGTGATGTGATCACAGGCGTGTACCACCACACCCGGACTGTTTTTTTTTTTTTTTTGAGACGAAGTCCTGCTGTGTTGCCCTGGCTGGAGTGTGCAGTGATGTGATCTCAACCCACTGCAACCTTTGCCTCCTGGGTTCAAGAGATTCTTCTGCCTCAGCCTCCCAAGTAGCTGGGATTACAGATGTGCCACCATGCCTGGTTGATTTTTGTATTTTCAGTAGAGACGGGGTTTCACTATGTTGACCAGGCTTGTCTGGAACTCCTGACCTCAGGTGATCCACCCACCTTGGCCTCCCAGAGTGCTGGGATTACAGGCATGAGCCGCCATGCCCAGCCCCAGTCACACATTTCCATGGCTAGGGCGCATTTCTCCTGTGCACATACATACACATTTCAGGACAGATCAGATTCTTCTCTTTATTTTATTTTTAATACTTTAAGTTCTGGAGTACATGTGCAGAACGTGCAGGTTTGTTACATAAATATACACATGCCATGGTGGTTTGCTGCATCCATCACCCTGTCACTACAGTAAGTATTTCTCCTAATGCTGTCTTTCCCCTATCCCCCGATCTCCTTTCTTTTTATTTTATTTTATTTTATTTTATTTTTTTATTTTTATTTATTTATTTTTTTGAGATGGAGTTTTAGCTCTTGTTACCCAGGCTGGAGTGCAATGGCGCGATCTCGGCTCACCGCAACCTCCACCTCCTGGGTTCAGGCAATTCTCCTGCCTCAGCCTCCTGAGTAGCTGGGATTACAGGCACGCGCCACCATGCCCAGCTAATTTTTTGTAGTTTTAGTAGAGACGGGGTTTCACCGTGTTGACCAGGATGGTCTCGATCTCTTGACCTCGTGATCCACCCGCCTCGGCCTCCCAAAGTGCTGGGATTACAGGCTTGAGCCACCGCGCCCAGCCTCCTTTCTTTTTATTGTTAAAGGGAAGCTAATTTATCCTATGCACTTCTGCAAATAGGAGAAGCCTAGAATCAACCAGACGAAGTCAGTTTGCAGTGCCCAGGTGGTTCTTGGCCTGTGAACATCCAGCTTAATGAAAGCATCAGGCATTACTATAATTACATAAATAAATGTGTAATTGCAAAGTGTGATAATGGTGCATGAGATACTGTTTTCAGCCCAAAATGTGGGTGTGCTATAATAATCATATCTGACCCTTATATAGTCTTATTAATGTGCCAAGGACTGTTCTAAGTGCTTCACCTGTACTAACTCCTTTTTTTTTTTTATTTTTACTTTACCTTTTTGAGATGGAATCTCATTTTGTCCCCCAGGCTGGACTGCACTGGCATGATTTTAGCTTGCTGCAACTTCCAGCTCTTGGGTTCAAGATTCTTCTACCTCAGCCTCCTAAGTAGCTGGGATTATAGGCGTCCACCACCACACCTGGCCTATACTTACTCATTTGAAGCACACAAAAAATTCCTGGGTATGGCCTGGCATGGTTGCTCACAGTTGTCATCCCAGCACTTTGGGAGGCTGAGGCAGGTGGATCACCTGAGGTCAGGAGTTGGAGACTAGCCTCATCAACATAGTGAAACCCTGTATGTACTAAAAATACAAAAATAAGCCAGGTGTGGTGGCACATGCCTGTAATCCCAGCTACCTGGGAGGCTGAGGCAGGAGAATCTCTTGAACCTGGGAGGCAGAGATTGCAGTGAGCCAAGATCGCGCCAGTGCACTCCAGCCTGGGCGACAGAGTAAGACTCTATGTCAAAAAACAAAAACAAAAACCTACTGGGTAAGTGGACATTATTTATTTATTTTTGAGACGGAGTCTTACTCTATCTCCAGGCAGGAGTGCGGAGGCAGGATCGTGGCTCACTTCAGCCTCCACCTACCGGGTTGAAGTGATTCTCCTGCCTCAGTCTCCCAAGTAACTGGGATTACAGGCGCACGCCACCACACCCAGCTGATTTTTGTATTTTTAGTAGGGACAAGCTTTCACCATGTTGGCCAGGATGGTCTTGGTCTCTTGACCTCCTCATCTGCCCGCCTCGGACTCCCAAAGTGCTGGGATAACAGGCATGAGCCACCGCACCTGGCCCAATGGACATTATTATCTCCAGTTTACAGATGATGACAAAAACACAGTCAAAGGAAGGTAAGATAGCCAGTAAGTGGCTGTTTTAAGTCTGTGCTGGTATAGCAGAATACCCAAGACTGGGTCATTTATAAAGAACAGCAATTTATTTTCTCACAGTTCTGGAGGCTGGGAAGCCTGAGATCAAGGTGATAGCATCTGATGAGGGCCTTTTTAGTGGTCCTCACATAGGTGAAGGCGGGAAGGTAAATAGAGACAAATGCTGTGTCCTTCATGTGGCATAAGAGTGGAAAAGCAAATTAGCCAAATGCTATGTGAAACTTCTTTTAAAATAGCCTTGTTCCCATTCATGAGGGACGTACTCTCATGTCCTAATCACCCTTTTTTTTAGACACAATCTTGCTCTATCGCTCAGACTGGAGTGCAGTGGCTCTCGGCTCACTGCAACCTCACCTCCCAGGTTCAAGCAATTCTCCTGCCTCAGCCTCCCATGGAGCTTGGATTGCAGGCGTGTACCACCACGCTCCTCTAATTTTTGTATTGTTAGTAGAGACGGGGTTTTACCATGTTGACCAGACTGATCTCCAACTCCTGACCTCAGGTGATCCACCCTCCTCAGCCTCCAAAAGTCCTCAGATCACAGGCATGAGCCACTGTGCTTGTCCCTAATCACGTCTTAAAGGCCCCAGTTCTCAGTACACATTGACAACATTCAATCCATAGTAGCGGTGTTACCAGAAAGGGGTCCAAATCCAGACCCCAAGAAAGGGTTCTTGGATTTCATGTAAGAAAGAATTCAGGATGAATCCATAAAGTGAAAGCAAGTATACTAAGAAAGTAAAGGAATAAAAGAATGGTTACTCCATAGACAGAGCAGCCCGCAGGGCTGTTACTACGCTCTGTCGCCAGGCTGGAGTGCAGTGGTGCAATCTGGGCTCACTGTAACCTCCACCTCCTGGGTTCAAGCTATTCTCCTGCCTCAGCCTCCCAAGTACCTGGGATTACAGGCACATTCTACCACGCCTGGCTAATTTTTCTATTTTTATTAGAGATGGGATTTCACCATGTTGGCCAGGCTGGTCTTGAACTCCTGGCCTCAAGTGTTTCACTGGCCTCGGCCTCCCAAAGTGCTGGAATTACAGGTGTAAACCACCATGGCTAGCCAATTATTTCTTGATGATATGCTAAACAAGGGGTGGATTATTCATGCCTCCCCTTTTTAGACCATATAGGGTAACTTCCTGACATTGCCATGGCATTTGCAAACTGTCATGGCGCTGGTGGAAGTGTAGCGGTAAGGACAACCAGAGGTCACTTGCATGGTTATCTTGGTTTTGGTGAGTTTTGGCTGGCTTCTTTACTGCAGGCTGTTTTATCAGCAAGGCCTTTATGATGCATATCTTGTGCCCACCTCCTATCTCATCCTGTGACTTAGAATGCCTTACCTGTCTAGGAGTGCAGCCCAGTAGGCCTCAGCCTCTTTTTATTTCGAGATAGAGTCTTCCTTTGTCACCAGGCTGGAGTGCAATGGCGCAATCT